CAGCTCTTGTGCCTCCTGCTTGTCGTGGGTATAGTGTGGTGAGAATGGGGGGGGGGGGATTCCTCTCTCGCTCTTCTGCAGCTGGTGCCCTTGCCATTCAAGCCTTTCGCACAGGCACCAAAACGAAGTGGGTGGACGACGAGGGAGGAGACAGACCCGATGCGGGGGGGAGGGGTTGAAGGGTGGGATCACACACACTCAAGCGACTGCTGCCGCCGGACTCCTATGCATTCATCCCAGGGGCGGCGGCAGCAATGGGCGCGCGCGCGACGCAGGGCTCTTGGCGGAGGCGGCTTTTTTTTTGGGGGGGGAGGCATTTTTCGGCGCCGGCATCCAGGGCCCGCCTCCGCGTTATAGGTGTTGGGTTAGACCCCGAAGTTGAAGGAGAGCGCGAGGGTGGAGAATGCGGCTGGAAAGGTTGAGCCTGAGCGGCTGAGGCCTCTCCTTTCCCCTCCTTGACGCCAGGGGGAGCAACCAGAGAACCAGCGAGGTCCTCCCAGAGGAAGAAGGTGGCTGAACTTCCGGGCCATCTTTTTTCTGATGTGTGCGTGATTCCAGCGTGGGGATCGGCGGCGCGAGGATGAAGTTCGCTTACAAGGTGAGAGTCAGACAGCTTTGCTTGTTCTGCTCGGGCTCTCCCCGTTCACTGTCCCTGCCGCCTCCTTTTGTTATTACTTTTAATTCTGTTGTTCTGAATCTGATATGTCCTCAGACGTGTCTTATTAAGCCGCTCGCTGCGCTTGGCTGTGATAGTGGAAACCCATTTGGGAGAGTACATCCTGCTTTTCCGTGTGTGCGCGTCGAGAATGTTTTATTAAGTGTGTCAGTCCGTGGAGACTCTAAGCCTGTCTGGACATCTTCCAGCAGTGGTTCAGATCTAATTTTTGTACCTATGGAGCAGGGCATAAGAGATGCTAATGTTTATAAGATTTGATCAATGTGTTTCCATGTTTGTTTTACTTGAAATTTTGGGAAGAGGGTAGATTTCCAGTCCAATATACTCATCTTCGTATCCTCTATGTGCTCTTACTCTGTTGTCTTTCCATTCCAGAGCAGCTTTCCAGTTCCTTCTCACCATACCTTCACTCTCTGCTATGATATTCCATCTCAGTTACTATCAGTACTTGTCTTCATAGCAACCCAGCTGCCGCCGCCGCTAGTCCATCACATCTGTTCCTTTTTCAAAGATGAATTCTGGGTTTCCTTGTACAATTTCTCTCAAATCATGTTTGGGAAATAGCTGTGCACCAGCAGGGCCCCCACAAGGACTCATGAGGACATCTGATCTTCCTCTCCCTCACCGTTTCCTTTTTCCTTCCCTGAAAACCCTTTTAGCTTCTGCCCTTTTCCTGCACTCTCCTCTCCTTCCTGCCTATGAGCCAACCTAGCTTTATCTGCTCTGTTGTTTTCAGTGTTACCTCCTTCCCTTCCCCTAGCAGCCTCTGCCCAGGAAAACGATGGCTTTGTGTGGTGATGGTCACCAGACTGGGCCTGGTTACTTGGTGGGGAACCTGGAAGGACTTCCCCCTGAATCCCATTCCTCATGGTATTTCCTTTTTTCCTCCTCTTGGCAATCCCCACATCCTCACATTTCCCTGCTTCCTTCTTTCCTTTCCACCTCATCACCCTACCTTTTATCTGCTCCCTCATCTTCAGCTATATTTATTATTTCATTTATTCCCTCCCTTTCTCCACAATGGGGATCCAAAGTGGCTTACATTATTCCTCTCCATTGTATCCCCATGTCAACTTTGTGAGGTAAATTAGGTTGAGAACATGTAACTGGCCCAAGATCGCCCAGAAAACGTCCGCAGCAGAGTGGGGATTTCAGGTTCTAGCCTGAAATTCTAATCACTACACAACACTGGCTTTTGTGGTGTGACTGCTGTTGGACAGTAGCAAGCAGCCAGGTCTGGGTTAGTTATGCAAGTTGTGTGGTAGCAAGTTGTCAGATTGTTGCTACTGAGCCTGGGCCTGAAGAGTCCTCATTCAAAGGCCAAAACAGTTCTGGACAGGGCCCTGCCTTTAACTGACAGAAACAAAGATTAAAAGGCTGTGTGGTTACCTGGCAACAGCCACAAAGGGTATTTGTTTCTTAAGGCTAAAGGTGCTGCTTCTGTTATTTGGGGGAGGTTACCCCTCCAATTTTTGTTCTTAAGAGTTCATATTTTCCTGCAAATCTGGGGTATTTTTCAGGTTTGTAGAAAAATCTATCTGGTCTTTTTAGGGCTCCAGTCTCCGGATTTAAGTATCCACAGATTTGCTATGTTGAGGGTTAGATGTATTGATTACCATACATTCTTAAGTTTACTTTTCTGTTTAAATGCAGTAGTTGTAACTTCAAAATTAATATTTGAAGCAGTTGTCAGGAGAGTACTGGCTCATGGACTTGTATACCTCAGTTTTCTGGTTCAGTCACATTCTTGTTATTGATGTATTCTAGTTCTCCAACTTGCTGGGCACAGTTTACCGATGCGGAAACCTGACTTTCACTCCAGATGGGAATTCTCTGATTAGTCCTGTGGGAAACAGAATTACTGTCTTTGATTTGAAAAAGTAAGTTCTTTCTCTTGTTATTGTTACAACTGAACTATCCTAAACAAAATGCAAACCTTTGAAGGACTTCTGTAAATGGATGAAATATGTTATATCGTCTTCACACTGTATGTACCTCAAAATAATATGTTCTTTAATTATTTTTTTTACTTTCTAAAGGGAGAGGGTTGTGTTTCCCTTGGGTGTACAAATCTGCTGAGTAGTGCTAAGTTGAGGTCGTGAGTAGGGATGGGCACAAACCACAAACTGATACGTGGTTTTGCAAACTGAACCAGTTTGAACTGGTTTGTGAGCCATTTAAAGTTTAAATCCCTGCTCTCTGCGGCTTGGAGCATTTAAACTAAACAGCTGAGGGGCAGTCTCCATCACTCAACTGCTTGGAAACCCTGGCTTTCTGCTCCCCATGGCTTTTTGTGGGAAGCAGAAAGCAGAGTTTAAATGGCTCAGATCCATTTAAACCAAACAGCTGTTTTTCTTGAAGAGCAGAAAGCAGAGGTCTGCTCTTCATGAACCACTATTAACTGCATCAAAAGTCATAGAACTTTCTGGTGGTTCTTTAGTTTGCAAACATTGCTTTGCGAACCACAAACCGTCCAAAATTCATGACAAGCTTTAGTTCGTCACCCGGTTTGTGCCCATCCCTGGTGCTGAGGAGTTGATGTGAGAGGTGATTTTCTTATTATGAAAGCACACAAACTCATTCACCAGTAGAGTGGAGTAGCAGGTAGCCTCTGGCACAAGCACATTGGGCCACTTTGTTGTGAGGAGAAAGAGGAGTCTGGTGGTCTAGCTAGAGGTTGGGGGGTCGGGCCAGCATGCTTGTGCCTGCTCTCCCTCCCTGTGCAGTGAGTCACTGTGCAGGTGGGCTGTCTACACAGGGCTCTTCTTTCCGCTCAGCCTCATGCGTTTTGTATGACACTGACTAGCTCATTTATTATTTCACGCAGAATTGTCATGTTTTAGATGATTGTTAGGTCTGCAGGAATCTTTGAAAATTTAAGGAAGTTGTTAATGCTATATAAGGTGCAAGATGAACTGTGAAAACAATTATGTGATCACTTCTGGGAAATAGCTACAAATGTAATTTACTTAGTTTTTGTGAGTTTAAAAAAAAGTGTTGTGTCCCCAGTATGTTTTATCCTGGGTATATTTTAGGTGGGAGAATAACCATCTTAAAGTAACTGTTTGCTCTGTTTCAAGAGTGTCTCAAGGTTATGTTTTATTTCATTTGCCCCTCGAGTTGTATCTGTCTTCTCTTGTGTGTTTACCCACTGTGTTGCCCTGACCTGGATAGCCCAGGCTAGTCGGATCTCATCAGATCTCAGGCGTTAAGCAGGGTAAGCCCTGGCTAGTATTTGGATGGGTGACTTCCAAGGAATACCAGGGTTGTGATGTGGAGGCAGGCAAACCACCTCTGAATGTCTCTTGCCTTGAAAACCCCACAGGGTCACCATGAGTCAGCTGTGACTTGACAGCACTTTTGACCACCATGCACTGTGTTCCTCGTTGCACTGAAAGTTAGTTGTAACCTCCCTTGAGGATGTTTGTCAAGAGTGCTGTGAAGCAAGTGGTGACGACCTTTTCTTAAACAGGCCCTGGTTCCCTATGTGTTTGAAGGCTCCATGGGTCGTGGCCCGAATACTGCAGGATAGTTTCTGAGTAACACTGATGATTGTAGGATCTTGGTGTACGCACATACTTGGGTATGACACTGTGGGCTGCCTGTCCTCTACTTTGCATGAGGATTTCCCTTCATCCAGGGTGCTTAAGCACTACTAACTTTGGTAGCACTAATCAGCTGTAGAGAAGAGAACTGAGTCGTCCCCAAACAAGGGGTCCTTGCCGTCAGAACTGACAGTGCCAGTCAGATGTTTAGTGGTGTAAATGTAGTTGTAGATGATATGGGACTGATGCTCCAGTGGCTTTAAGAGTTATTCCTATGTAGCTGTACTCTTGCACTTAGAACCCCAGTCTTTAAGGGCAATCTACATGCATACGTCTTTTTCCAGCTGAATCATCATTGCTGAATTGAGTTGAGGAGTATAGCTAAAGTTACTGCTTTGATTTTTACTTTGCCTGGGGTTTTTTTTGAAAAAAAATACATGTTTTTGATTCTCTTCCCTAGTAACAAGTCTGAGACGCTACCACTGGCAACCCAATACAATATCACATGTGTGGGACTCTCTCCAGATGGAAACCTTGCCATACTTATCAATGAAGGTATCTATTTTGTTTTGACAAGTGTCAAAGATAAATATAATCATGAGGAAGACGTTTTTCTTAACACAAATATTAAGCTGTATAAAAAACAAAAAACAAAAGACCCTTTGCCAAGAAATTGAATTAGATTCCCTTGAATAAAACTAACTTTAATTTAATTAGAATGTTGGGGCTTCAAACTTTGACAGAGTGTATTATTTGAATGTTGGAAATATTTGTTCCCTTGAAGCATATCTTTGTTTGCTCTCTTTCCTTTAGTGGGAGCTGCCTTGCTTGTCAGCTTGATCAGTAAATCTGTGATTCACCAGTTCCATTTTCAGAAACCTGTACACAGTGTCTGCTTCTCCCCAAATGGAAAGTAAGAAGAATTATTTTTAACTCAGTTTTTCTCCTGCCTTTGACAACATGATGTGAGTAGAAGTTATCCCCAGATTAAATTTGGCCCATTATTAAAATAGGGGCCAAGTGAATGAAATCCGTAGACTCATAGAAGAGGAATAAAATCTTCTATCGGTTCTGCTTTAGATAGCGAAGGACATGTGGTCTTTGTGCTGTATTGAAGTATATTCTAGGGATAATAGAAAAAGAATAAGCGGTAATTTCTGTCTCAGATGTTTACACAGTTTTACCTAATTCTCTGAATAATTGTTGCCTACCTAATATTGCTTGGCTTCATTTTATTGTTTTTCTTGCTCTGATGAATTATATGCAACACACCTACTCTGTATTTTTTGTGCAACAGGAAATTTGTAGTCACAAAGGACAAGGTTGCTCTGATGTACCATGCCCCAGGAAAGAAACGAGAATTTAACGCGTTTGTTCTTGACACAACATACTATGGTGCATATGATGAAACAACATGCATAGACTGGACTGATGATTCAAAGTAAGTGTGTTAATACATGGAACATGTCAGCCCGTCAAAGAAAATCTGCAAATATGTTGAAAATCAGTTCAGACTTGTGCTTCATGCTTCTCTCGATACATTTTGACAATCTTGCCAACTGCTAACATGAAACACTGAAGGGAACCACTAGATCTGAAGATTTTTCTCTAGTCAGTTTTTGCTTTGTATCTCTTTTAATTTTTTGTTCTTGTAGATATTTTATTAATGCCAGTTAGCTTAGAACAAAACAATTTTGGGATCACAAAGCACTTGCAAGGAACAAAATCCCATCTGTCCTGCAGTCCCCCCCCCTTTGTTCAACCTCCTACCCTTCTGCTGCTGCCGTGCCTCTCTCCTGCCCAACCCTCCTAACACCACTGATGATTGCTCTTGCCTTTCTCCCTGAACATCCTGCCTCTACCACTGTCTTCTGTCGTAGCCTTTCCCCATTCTCCTCTCGCTATCAACTGCCACATGCTTAAACTTGAATGATCTCCAAAACTGCTGAAAGCATGAGAGTTGGGGACTGTGGGATAGATCCAGTGGTTCCCTTCTGTTAATGGAAGGAGTCCAGTGAAAAGCTCCTTTCATGGATCTAACTCTCTCTTCATTCCTTGGTGTCTTTCCCATGGTTATCATCAACCGTTTAGGTAATCCATTGTACCAGATTGTTTGCTTGATCTCAATAGTAACTATTGGTTTGTTCTTTCAAATGTTCTAAGTATATCTGTTGCTGTTGTTTTTTAATTCTTGTAGATGTTTTGCAGTTGGCAGCAAGGATATGTCAACATGGGTTTTTGGTGCAGAACGATGGTCCAATCTGATTTATTATGCTCTGGGAGGTCATAAGGATTCCATTGTTTCCTGCTTTTTTGAAGAAAACAGTCTAGATGTATGTACATTTTTTGTATGTGTTTTCACATTATCTGTGTTTTTAGGTTATCAGCTAGCTTGCTTTGGGCAAACTATGTGGGATTTTTAATTTTAATTTTGCTTTTTTTATTTACATTATTTATAGTCCACTTTTCTCACTTTGACTCAAGGCAGATTACACAGAGTGAGTCAATACAATTGACAGGGTGAAACGTTCAGTAAACAACACAATAGGAATTAGGGTTGTAGAACCATCCAGAAGTCTAAAAACAGAACTGAAGCAAATCATAAGTATTAACATGACACATTAAATTATACAAACATTCCATAGCAAGATCCTAGTTTCAGCAAGCTATACAGAGTAGTATAGACCACAATCCCTAATAATTTAAGTAACTTTGTGAATTATTTAGTACAGTGCAACCATATTGCCTGTATAGAAAAGTTCTCTTGAATAATTCAGTTTTGCATAGTTTGTGGAAAGCCAGGAGAGTGGGGGCCACAACAGAGAAGGCAATGTGCATAGGTGGACAGTCTGTACTGCTGTCAAAATGCTTGGTTCTTTTACAAAGTCATCATTAGTGGGGACTAGAGAAGTGATTTTAAGTGACTGATGTCTTGAGAGTAACCCAATTATTTCTAATCTCTAAGTCCATCTCATATAGGAGCCTGGTTGTTGAGTTTGGGCATTGGAAACTAGTATTCATTTATATATGTATTTGCTTAATTATTAAACACACGCAGGACTCTTTTTGTAGCAGGAACTCCTTTGCATATTAGGCGACACACCCCTAATGTAGCCAATCCTCCAAGAGCTTACAGTTGCCCCTGTAAGAAGAGCTCTGTAAGCTCTTGGAGGATTGGCTACATTAGGGGTGTGTCGCCTAATATGCAGAGGAGTTCCTGCTACAAAAAGAGCCCTGAATTTATTTTTATGCTCACAAATGGCACCCAGATTTGAACAATAAACAAGGCCTTTTGTAGGGGTTGTTTTTGATAACTAAAGGCTATGTAGATTTTGAAGAGATTCTAGTGAACTGTGATCAACTATTGCTAATCTCTTATTGAATCAATGGCATGAAATTCTGTTTAATTCATTGGTTTAATGCTCAGGTCTATTGTATTGTGATTGGTAGTAGTTGTATATGTGTTTTTGTTTTCCAGCTATACACTATTAGTCGAGATGGGGCTTTGTGTGTATGGCAGTGTGACACGGAACTAAATGGCTTGAAACCCAGAGTGTCCAAACAACAGACTGAAGACAGAGAGGAATTGGCAAAAGATCAAGAGGAAGAGTTCACAGAGGAGCAGCAGGGCAAAACGATTCAAGGGAAAGTCAACGAAAATGAACAAGAAAGTAGAAAGAAAGTAAAATACTCATGTGCTGCCAAGTGAGTGATCTTTGAGGGGGGGGGGCAGCACAGGAGGAATTTCGTTTTGATAAACATATTAGTCTTGCCCCCAAAGCCATGATTTATAACTTTCTAGTTTTAACCACCAAAACCAAACTCCACTGGTTTCTTATCAGCTTGTGCTTGAATTATGTGAGTTACAGGCATTACTGAAGTGAATGGCTCATTTGTAACTAGACTTCTGAGCTAGAAAAACAGACCAAAACATGAATAATGATTTTAAATCACAACATAACAATAAAAGAGGAGGTGCAACTGTGGGGTAGGCCTGATCAGGTGGAAGAACCTCAGCTTTTGATGGAACGGTTTCCCCCTGCTTAGGGGTGGGATCTTTCCCCCCACCCTTCCTTTCCCGCAGCAGCTTACCGTGGTCCTTGAAAAGGCATTGCTGGGAATCACAGAACTAGAAAAGGACAACATTTTATTTATTTACTTCATACCCCACCTTTCTCCCCAAGGGGAACCCAATGCATCTTCCATCATTTTCCTCTCCTCCGTTTTATCCTTAAAAGAACCTTGTGAGGTAGGTTGAGGGTTGGTAGTACATGAGTTGCCCAAGGTCACCTAGTGAGCGTCTGTGACAGAGTGCAGATTCTAACCCAGGTCTCCTAGATTCTAGTCTTGTAACTGTTGCATTATACCGGCTCTCACAAAGGCCACTGAGTACTGGATGCTGCAGCCAAGAGAAAGAATTAGGAGAAATTAGTTCAATAATTTTGGGGGGTCCAATTCCTTTTCTTTACTGCAGGCCCCTTTCTCCATGCCTGTTGGCTTTTTGTACTGGCAATTTAGGCATTGTAAGGATCTGGTTGCCATTTTCAGGAGACTTGTAATCAATGCTCCCTTTAAGCTTGTGGGGTCCTGTGAGCAAAAATTCTACTTTGTGAGCTACTGGCAGTAAAGTTGGGAGCAAGGGATTTGGCTACTGCATAAATTAGTTTGCTCTGGAGCCATCCTTCCTGAGCTAAGGCAAAAACGTGTGAGCTGGAGGCTAAAAAACTGTGAGCTAGTTGATACTAACTCAGCTTAGAGGGAACACTGCTGTAGAAATGGGATTGGCACATTGTTAGTCCAGTCTTCTATCTTACATTGGAAATACCAGTCAACATGTGCCTCGTATTAAATGTGCCAGTAGTACATCTCATAGCTTCCTAATATTCCTCACACTTTCACCTTTCAGGTATTTTTTCAACAAAGAAGGAGATTTTAACAATCTGACCGCTGCAGCTTACCACAAGAAGACCCATCTGCTTGTCACTGGCTTTGCTTCTGGAATTTTTCATCTCCATGAGCTTCCATACTTCAACCTCATCCATTCTTTAAGGTTAATATGGATAGTCCTTATTGACTGAAGATAAGTCTCAGTATTGTGGTGTTAAAGGAAAGTATTGTGGTGTTGAAGGAAACACTGGACATGATTAGCTTTTCAATGCAATCCTAGGTAGAGTTACTCCAGTACTGAACTAAAGGGGTTTGCTCTTTTCATTGTATGGCTCTGAAAAGCTGCTAGTTATAATTGTATGTTATCTATGTCCTGGACAAGGAGGCTTTTGTTTTAAAATCAAAGACCGTTTGGTAATGTAGAGAGACTGACTGCCATCCATCTCTTCCAATTGCTGAAGTGTAATTTAACAATTAAAGGCCAGGTAAAAGTCAGAGTACTGCAGATACTTTACAGTGTTGGATATTTAAGTACATACTTGACCATTACAGTGTTTGCATATCTAGAGTAATGTGCAAATTTTAACTGGAAGGGATTAATTTTGCCTCAGTATAATGCTCGTCAGTGGATGCAGACAGTGTCCTGTCAACCCAGCCATAAGATATGATGTTAAGTGTAAAGCTCTCATTCTTTATGATCAGTTCTCTGGTTTCAGCCAAAGGCTGTTGTCATGAGGACGTAACTGAGTCAAGCCTATTTTGCAGTTAATGTTGTTTGGATTTACTTCCAGTGTGCTCTGTATTTGTAGTAGTATCTAATAGCAGTTCAGTTTCATCAGCACCTTAAAGAAGCACAACATTAAAAATCTGTTCTGTAAAGCATACACTTATGCAGCTCCACTGAGTTCGGTGTCATGTTGTTTTCGGGTTGAAGTTTTTAAACAAACTGTAATGGTGAAGATAGAAATACGCGTTTGTGTATTTTGCTTGATCCCTTGTCCTGGAGTGGGCCATTTTACAAAATCCTTCCTGGTTTCGCTATGCCAAAAGATCATCTACTGGCTTCAGTGTTCTAGCCTCCTTTATAATGATGGAATAAATACTAGTCTTTTAGAGGCTGTTGGACTTGTGTTTTGTCTTCCTTACTTTGGCAGTCTAATGTCTTTTATATTAATATCACTAGCTAATCTTTGTCTGATATTATGCCCCTATCAAAACAGCATTAGAAGCTAAGCTTTGATTAGAGTCTGCCTGTCTGAATTTAAATTTATTGCCTTTTAAATTTAGCATTTCAGACCAGAAGATTGCATCTATTTCTATCAACAGTACCGGTGACTGGATCGCCTTTGGATGCTCAGGTATGCGACTGTTTATCAGTGTTGTGCTGGGTTAACAAATGACTTGCTTCAACCACTGAAGCTTACTTACAAGTGAATCACAGTACTTGAGAATTGTCAAATCCCGCCTAAATTTTAGCGCCTTATGATTTCATTTCTCCTTCATTCCAGGTCAAGATATAAAGTGAACAATGGCAAGTTTATTATTTGTAACACACAAGAGAGCAAACAAGCTTCATGTTCTGTAGAAAAACATAATAACCTGTAAATGATCAAGAATGTTTATTTATTTACAAAATTTGTATTTTGCCTTTCTGCTAAATCAGGGCCGCGAAGGCAGCTTACTATTAAAAACAGACCATAAAACCAAAACTAAAGCACATGTATAAAGCACAAAGACAGCAATTAAAACATAAGGCAGGAATGAGGGGTCACGGAGGGACTGCCAGATGAAATGAATCTTCACCCACTGGCGGAAGTCAGTGATAGAAGGGAACAGACAAATAACCCTGGGGAGGGAGTTCCATAACTTTAGTGCTGTGACCCAAAAGGCCCTTTCTTGGGTTGCTATTCTTCTAATTTCAGAAGGGGGGGGGCATTCAAATCAGGGCCTCAGAAGATGACTGTAGTGGTTTAGAGTCATATGGAAGTAGACAATCCTTAAGGTATGCAGGTTCCCAAATCATACAGGGCTTTAAATATCAACACCAGTGCTTTGAATTGGGCCTGGACATAAATTGGGAGCCTGTGCAGAAGGACCAAGACTGCAGTGATATGATCCCTACATCCCACTCCAGTCAACGACTTGGCCACAGCATTTGAAGTTCAGAACACCTTTCACCCACATATAGTGCACTGCCATAATCTAATCTATATGTTACCAACATGCACACAATAGTGGCAAGATCGTTTCTGCCCAGGAAAGGCCATAGCTGGTAAAAACGCTCCTTGCCATTTCCACCATTCACTTATCCAGGAGTACTACCAACCTGCAGAGTGCAGCCTGTCCATGGGAGGAGACACCTCATTGAAATACTCTGGGGACTGAAAGGCCCTTTCTTGGGTTGCTATTCTTCTAATTTCAGAAGGGGGGGGGCATTCAAATCAGGGCCTCAGAAGATGACTGTAGTGGTTTAGAGTCATATGGAAGTAGACAATCCTTAAGGTATGCAGGTTCCCAAATCATACAGGGCTTTAAATATCAACACCAGTGCTTTGAATTGGGCCTGGACATAAATTGGGAGCCTGTGCAGAAGGACCAAGACTGCAGTGATATGATCCCTACATCCCACTCCAGTCAACGACTTGGCCACAGCATTTGAAGTTCAGAACACCTTTCACCCACATATAGTGCACTGCCATAATCTAATCTATATGTTACCAACATGCACACAATAGTGACAAGATCTTTTCTGCCCAGGAAAGCCCACAGCTGGCTAGCTGGTAAAAGCGCTCCTTGTCATTTCCACCATTCACTTATCCAGGAGTACTACCAACCTGCAGACATACGCTCCTTCAAGGAGAGTGCAGCCTGTCCATGGGAGGAGACATCTCATTGAAATACTCTGGAGACTTGAACTTAAAAAAAAAAAAAAACTATGTACACACCAAATTGGTGTAGAGTGGCACTTTTTAAAATAAAAATGAAGAATATTGCCAGTAATTGCATTTATTTACTAGCCTGAACTGGTTCTTTTAAAGCTGAAGTAAATGCCCAGCCTTCTTTTCCATTGTGTTGACAGGTCTGGGACAGCTCTTGGTGTGGGAGTGGCAAAGTGAGTCCTATGTGTTGAAGCAGCAAGGCCACTTCAACAGTATGGTGTCCCTTGCATATTCTCCAGATGGACAATATTTGGTGACTGGTGGGGATGATGGGAAAGTAAGTCTGCCACGGCTGATGAAAACTGGATTTGTAGTTATCTAAAACCTACAGTTTCTGAATATATACTTTAAAGAGGTCTGGTACTTCTGAGGGTTCTGTCAAGATGCCAGGGCCCATGTTTATTTGAATCTGTGTATTGCATTTACCTGTGTGTACAGTTTTGCTTCTGTGGGAAGTGTTTGCTTTTTTTTTTTTTTTTTAAGAAAAAGCTTTGGAGGTATTCTGGAATTAGGAGCAAATCCAAATTGACGTTTGGCTAATACTGAAGTGACTTAGGTTCCAAGTTGGCAGGACTGATCATAATATATAGCCACATAATTAACAAGATATGCTGTTGAGGTGAAATGACATGTTCTTGTCATTGAGATTCTCGTGGTGTGATTCTCAATTCCATGCTCAAAGGGAAACCTGGTGGGAGCTTATCCCCACTAAGGAAGGTGTGTGGTAATGTGCTTTCAGTGGTTGAGGGGTATCTGGAAGTTAAATACTTTGTCCATCCCAGGAAGAACAAATGACTGAAGCTTAGTAAAGGACTTTCTGTTTTTGTTTTCAGGTTAAGGTATGGAACACCAACAGTGGTTTCTGCTTTGTTACCTTTACAGAACATACTAGCACCATATCTGCTGTAACATTTACCTCCTCTGGTTATGTCATTTTGAGTGCGTCTCTGGATGGAACAGTGCGAGCCTTTGATCTTCACAGGTAAATTTGTCCATCCAGCTTTCAATTTTACTGAGTTCTGTTTCATCTTGGTATACAGACTAGGGGATTTATAGATGAATATTCTTAATTTAGATGTGTTCTACAGTTATGTTAATTCCTTTCCTGGGTTAACTAAGGCACAGTCAAATGTACAAATTCTTATTATAGTACAGTCCTCTCACATAGTTGCACCACTTCAGATGATATGTGTACACTTGGTAGTTTGAAATATTTGATGTCTAATCAAGCCTTGAACCAGCATGCCTTAGGGAAATAAAATGGAATATGATTTTAAAATATTCAAATGCGAAATTTACATTGTTGGCACTATTAAACTAAAGAATTAACTTTTGTTTTTAAATCACAATTCTGCATATTTTAACAGGTACCGCAATTTCCGCACATTTACATCCCCTCGACCAACTCAGTTCTCCTCCTTAGCTGTTGACAGCAGTGGTGAGATAGTTTCAGCTGGTTCACAGGACTCTTTTGAAGTATTTGTATGGTCCGTACAGAGTGGACGACTCTTGGATGTAAGAAACAGACTTTTGTTGTTGTTGTAGCCTCAAACTATTTGGGAACTCTTTCCTGAGGCCAGCTTTATGGCCTGTGAAGAAACCCTTCCACTTGTATATTTAAAATATGGCATCAAAAAGAAACCATTAGAATTCTAAGATCCAGTTTGTTCTCTGTTTGCTATTGCCACAGTTTTATGGACATGAGTGGTACATAAGACAGCAAATGCAGCTATATATTGCATACTGCATGGTATGGGAGGCATACACCCCCCCCCGCTACATTAACATCAATGCGGGGGGTGAGGGCCCTAGAAGGGTAGGTGGAATATCTGCTTAACATCTACTATGCAATGCCTACTGGGGAATGTTTTGGTGTGTGGTTTGTCCTCTCCGACACTTTTGAAGGGATGCTGTTTAGTTTGAGCATTTTATTGGTTGATTGGGTTTTAAATCCTATATTATGTTTTTAATTATACTAAACTATTTGATGTTTTTATGAGCAAGTTTCTTGCCTTGTAAGCCGCCCTGAGCCCTGCGGGGGAGGGCGGGGTATAAATTTGACAAATAAATAAATAAATAAATAAATATACCAGGCCAACTTTAAGTGTAATTGTAGCCTGATATACCTTTGCACTGGATACATTCATTTTAAACACTTTGATGTAATGCTGTATGTTTAGGTAGCTATTCTTTTTGTGAATTCCATGTTTTACTTTTTTTCTTTATTAGGTCTTAGCTGGCCATGAAGGCCCCATCAGTAGCCTGTGTTTTAACCCAATGAAGTGTGTTCTAGCAAGTGCCTCTTGGGATAAAACAGTCAGATTGTGGGATATGCTGGATAGCTGGAGGACCAAGGAAACCCTAGCACTGAACTCAGATGGTAAATGCAAATCTCTATAAGCTGTGTTGTTTGTGTGATACTTGTGCTTTTGGGGTAGCCTGCCTGGTTGAAGTTTTAATCTTAATAGCAGTTACTGTGAGGAAAAGCCTGTCTGTGATGCAACTCTTGCCTCTTGAATGAGTTTTTAGCAGGTAATCTAAACTGAATCTTAATTTGTAAGGATAACTCATATGTTGTCATGTTCACCATGTTCAGTGCCTTGGGGATCCTGATTGGGTGGAAAGCTGGCATAAAAATTTAAACGAACAAACGAATAAAATAGCAGCAAGCCATGGCTGGTTGTTATGTGAACCAGCCTGAGAATCCTCAAGCTCACATGTTTTCTCCCACCCCCTTTAAAATTAAACATCAAAATCCTTAGGTTTGTTCATATAACTGTCTTGTAACATATAACAAGCCCTGTTGTGATGCTACAGCTGCACCATGCGTGAGAATATAGAACTTATAACAATGTTTCTTGAAACGAGATTTAACATTTACTTCTCTCACTGAACACATTTTCTGCAGTACTTGCTGTTGCTTTTTCCCCGGATGGTAATGAACTTGCAGTTGTTTCCTTGGATGGACAAATAACCTTCTGGGATCATGAAAATGCAGTGCAGACTGGCTCAATTGAAGGAAGACATGATCTACAGACAGGGAGAAAGGAACTGGACAAAATAACAGCCAAGCAGGCTGCTAAGGGGAAGTAGGTGGAATATTGGTGAACATTTTTTAGATTTGGGTTTTATTAGGATTATTGGGGTTTTAATGGAGGGGCAGGAAGCTTCTGCATAGCATTGTACTCTCTCTCTCCCTCTCTCAAAACTCCTTTGTGTGTCCTACTAGCTTGTTTGGAATCTGAGAAGCTCAGCTATTTTTTTTTTTTTTAATTATCTCATGATGTATTCTGGATGCAGAGAAAAGTTTCAGTATTCCAGTGGCAGTGCTAATATTGGTTTGATATGGGCTTCTTAACTAAATGCTCACACCTCTGTGGTATGAGTGATTACATTATAGTATTCACAGTATTGCTTATAGTTTAATTTTGACCTTTTCTGTTCAGATCTCTTTAGTTAGTAACTTCACAACATGATTTTCAACTGAGGTTGGGAAGTAAGAGGGAAGGGAGGGTGCTGTTGTCTTAGTTCAGTAGGCTCCTCTGTGTGGCATATTCAGAGGGTCACCCTTCCCGGGTAGGACTGATTCTTTAATTTCCAGTCTACTGGATAATGCCCTAAACGTTCAGTTTTCATATTGTATATCGTTGTACAATCTGCACCCTTGTTGTCCCTGGATAACAATCTCATTTACTGCTGCCATGGCTTATATGTCAAGACAGTTAAATCTGGAAGCGATGTACTAAACCTGTGGAAGAAGTTCTAATGGGAGGCTAATTGTATAAGCCTCTGTGTCTTTTCTCTCAAATAGTTGCAGTTTCCACAGAGTATCTATGCTGGGGAAACATGGTGAGATTTTAAATTCTGGGATATATAAATAAAATCACTAATTTACACTTTTTGTTTTCTTCAGATCCTTCACTGCTCTCTGTTACTCAGCTGATGGGCAGTCCATTCTGGCAGGAGGGATGTCGAAGTTTGTTTGTATTTATCACATCAAAGAACTGATTCTTATGAAGAAATTTGAAATATCTTGCAATCTTTCCTTAGATGCAATGGAGGTTAGTGACAGATTTTGGGAAGGTGATACTGGAACTTGGTACAGGGATATCTACTGAGTTTGGGACAGAAATTGCCCTAATCGAGGTCATGGAACTGAAGTTTGTACAGCTAGTGGTAAACTGGTAATGAGTTTAGTCTTTGGCTCATGTGATTTGCCAGACTGTAATCAGGGCTCATAAATAACCTGGTTGCTCTGTAGTGCTGCTCAAGATGCTTTTTAATTTTTCAGTCTCATAGTACTTCAGGCTTCATTCTTTTGAGAGCAACCACCACAGCCCATTTATATTCTGAAATTCCAGATACTTGTTCTGAATTTGTCTGTCTTCAGCTTGGAGGCTGTAAAAGTATCAAACTCTCAATTTTTCACAGGAGTTTCTGGATCGCAGGAAAATGACTGAATTTGGAAGCATGGCATTAATAGATGAAGGAACTGGGGATGACGATGGTGTGGCTATTCCTCTTCCAGGGGTTAAAAGAGGTACCTAAAGCTTTTTAGGAATATTCAACCATTCACCCGTGACATTTGCTCTACTCAGTGAGTGAAGTTTCCTTGCTGAGTTATACAGGGATAGAAAGGACAATAGTATTTAAAGCAAGTATTTTGTACATTACTTCTCACTCACACCTTTAAACCTAGGAGACCCATTGGTAGCATTATGCTTTTGTTTGGGATCTACAGGGAAGTGAAACTGCTCATGTAAGAATATTTGCACTGAATCATGTTTACTTAGATAGTTAATTGGCTGTAGATACAGCAACCAATTCCATGCAGTGAAATTCCTGACTTCACATCTTGAATAGCCCAATGTTATTAGAGCTTGGATTCTAAATAGAGTTCTTGGTGGATGGGAGACCACCAAAGAAGACTAGGGTGGTACACAGAGGCAGGCAATGGTAAACCATTTTCTGCCTTGAAAATCCCATGGTCCTGGGGTTGCCATGAGTCAGTTGTGGCTTGATGGCATGCACAATAATAATAAACTCCTGTCCTGACTCAGTGTAGTAGCAAGTAGCACTTTCAATTCTGTCCCTGCTCTGTGAAGGAGTCTTTGTTGTTGTTGCTGCTTCTCTGAGTTTTCTTTCCCACTCTAAGTGGGCTTGATGAGTGTTTGTGGAATGAAGAGTACTAGATGTGTCTTATATGTTGCTATAATAGTGACTGATTTTCCTATTTGGAAAACTGGAAAACATCGGATTGGATCCCACAATCCACAGATGCAAGGATTGCTTACCTTTCTCATGTTTCCCTCCCTCCTCAGTCCTTTAATACCACAGGGAGGCTTATTACTAGAGTTGAGGGGACCTGCACAGACTAATAGCAGCATAGATCAGAAAGCTGCAGTGGGACAGCAGAAATTGCTGTCTTCCTCTGTTCCATCAGCAGAGCTTTACTGAGGGGAAGACACAGAGTGATTTCATTTCTTAGCCTCTACAGTGCACCCTCCTGACTTACATAGCTATTAAACTTTCCGGAGTCAGGGAGGGGAGGGGAACGTGGAAAGCATCCATGACTGTCAGTTCCCTTCGCTATATGAACTTGTGTGAACGCACGTGCTGTCTTTGTCACACGTGTTATGGCTGACTCAATAGACTTGCAGTGTCAAGATTAGTATGTACAAGATACATCCAGCATGTTATGGAATTGCTTCTCGTTTCAGGTGACATGAGTTCTCGACATTTTAAACCAGAGATAAGAGTGACTTGCCTTCGCTTCTCTCCTACTGGTGGGTGTTTTTATTTTAACTAGTTTGTCAATTATGTTCTCTCCATCCACTCATCTTCCAATAGCCTGCCATACATGTCATGCTGCTGAAGGTGGGAATGCATAATAATGGTTTGAGTTGGTACCCAGTAGTTGATGGAGCTGCTTTGTGGTAGCTTAAATGGAATAAATTAACTGCCCTAGCCCACACCCAGGATACTTTAGCCATAATTTAATTACTAAACATTTTTGATTATTTAATTACATTCTTCTAAAATGTGATAGGCAAGTGAACTGTTTGCTGTAGTGTCAGATCACATGCTTTATAGTAGCAGTTATGTTTAAGATTTTTTTTTGTACAAATAGATTTGACTTTTCAAGATCACTTATAAGGAACATTGCCATCCGTTCACCTCTAATATATCTGCCTGCCAACCTTCAGGCTTGCATGTTCTTACCTATTAACACTTTTCAGGACGAAGCTGGGCAGCAACCACTACAGAAGGCCTTCTGATCTACTCTTTGGACTCTGGTTTGGTCTTTGATCCATTTGACTTGGAAATTGACATCACCCCTAGCAATGTTCACAAAGTACTACGTCAGAAGGAGTATGCCAAGGCAATTGTCATGGCTTTTCGACTGAATGAGAAGAAACTGATTCAGGAAGTCTTGGAAAATGTGCCATATAATGACAGTAAGTAAGATAAAGACAGTAAAGTTTTTTCAGTTCAGTGTTATAGTTGTAGAAGGCAAGATTTTCTGGAGTTCGAGACTGTCAGCAAGATAGTCTGTGTTTTATGGAGAAGGGAAAGGACCAAATCCTCTGATACTTTGGTGTATTAGCCCAGGTGACTCCATCTTTGCTAGTTGCCCTGAGTCTCTTGGGAGGGGACAGCATGAGCTGCTCTCAGGGGAACATTCTCACTCTCATGCTTCACAGCAGAGCCTTCTCTTCAAGGCCTGGGTTGTTTCTTCCCCCCACTGGAAGCCAGGTGCAGGATGGCCTGGCTCATCCAAGTGTTTGGTATTAATTAATCATTCTTTGGGCTCTCAGCCAGCATTTAGGGTGTGAGACTCCTAGTTCTAGTTATGCTCTTGGTCTCGAGGGTTTGGCTAAGCTTTGCTGTGTGTGTGCATCTCGAGTCCAGCTGATTGGAACTTAGCCCTGAATCTGCTTTGATAACCCTGATGTGTTACTAAAGCTCTCCTCATAAGTGAGCCCAGATCTCTCATTTCCGTTACTTGGGAACTTCTGTGACCCTATGGAGCCCCTGGCCAGGGTCTGTAGCACTTGGCATCAGTGGTACATGGGCATTAGTAACAGGAACCATCACAGGAATTGGGAGGGGGAAAGAGAATTTATTAGGTTATAGTTTGATTTTCTTTGCTTGGAAATGTAAATAGATTTAAAAAAAAAAAACCTAAATCAGGACTAGCGAGCTTAGTGATGGGTCATGCTTAATTTAATGTAGTGCTCACCCTTTCTGCAAATAAATGTTTTATGTCTTCATGTTATTTCAACTAATAACAATTCTTATTTTTTTAAACATAGTTGAGGTAATCTGCTCATCACTCCCAGAACTGTATATAGAAAAGATGCTGGAATTTTTGGCCTCTTCCTTTGAGACATCTCGTCATTTGGAATTCTACCTCTTGTGGACTCAGAGATTGCTTATGTTGCATGGGTGCAAGTTAAAAACAAGGTCTGTAAACTTTTAGAAAGACACATGCTAATATCTGCTGCTCATCCAGACAATTTGTAATGGGAACAAATTGAACATAGATCTGCTTTGGCTTTAGAAATGCAACTACATAAAGCACCTTCCAGCCATTCTTTAGAGGTTTACAGCTGTCATATTAGAGAAAAGCTTGGTATGTGTGTGTGTGTTACCACTCTTGCAAGAAATAGGTGCTTTATTGCTTCTTTTAATACTTGATGTAAAAAATACTTTATGTAAAAATTAGCAATTTAGTTTTTTTATTTAAAAAAACACAGAATGTTTGTACAAACTGAGATGTAAGCTCTTGTGATTTTTCAGGTCAGGAAAACTGCTGCCTTCCATTCAGTTTCTTCAGAGAACTATTCAGCGTCACTTTGAAGATGTTTCCAAACTGTATGTATTTTTCTTGAATGCATTCTGTTTTGAACACTTTTACCCTCTCAATAGAAAGGGATGATAACTGTGATTGGATTGTTTAAGACAGGCATGCATATCGCAATGAATATGTCTTTTCTTCTTCCACCCCACTCTCCCATACTAATGCAGCAGACTCTGATCTGGGGGCTTTCAACTTCGTGTGGCTTTGTTTTGACCACTCAATCAGTGTTTCTCTGTTGCATTAAATAGTTTGTCTTCAAGTGTGATATTCATGCTCAATATTAAAAGGCCTGATATCTGAAAATATAGAGGCGTGTCTATTTTTACCTTCTGTATTGAAAGATCTGGCAACAATCTGCACTTGCAGAAGCAACTAATAAGAAATACAGGTCCTGTTACATGCATGCACATACAGTCATGAGTTGTATGTATGAACGTGACCCAGCATAAATGTTTCATATTGTCTCGTGGTAATATATTTCAAAAGAGCGAGTCAACACATTTGGTGCGAGTTAAAGATGTTGAGTTTCAAGTGCGCATGTGTGAACTATCCTTAGAAGCGCATTGCCTCTGATCACTGGCTACATTTGTATACAATGGACAGGCTCTTACTAACACTGCTTTGAATTTAGTCTAAAATCTTTCTGTGTTTTTTCTTTCTATAGTTGTGACTGGAATCGCTATAATATGAAATATATTCTGGCCATTTCACAACAACGGGGAATGAAACGTACAGCAGAAGAATCTGAAAATGATGAAGAGCTACAGAATTTGGAAGAGTCCAGTAATGATTCTCTCATGGAAGAATCAGTTGTGCCTCCATGAAAATGACTTATGTTATTAATTGTTGAAGACTTTTTAAAAAAATCACACTGATTTAAAAGGAGAACTGAACAGCCCTCATAGTGACTTGTTTTGTACAAGTGATATGGATGTGCAGCAACTTGATTGAGGTAGTCTGCTGCCTCCTAAGTTGTGATCTCTGTATTCTTCTGAAAAAACAGAATAACAGAACTTATATGTAGTTTTCAAGCAACAAATGCCTATGATAATCTGTCAGTCAAGATCAACATTTATGGGGTAGAATCTAAAGTTCCCCAACTAGTTTTCTTCTCATGCTTGGAAATGTGTTAACCTGCCTCCCTCCCCTTTCCAGTGTCAAAGTTAGGTGTCCTCCAGATCTGCACAAGGGTTGAAGAAAGTATCTCCCCCCCCCCTTGTTTGCAAATGCTTTCTGCTTAAGTGTGGGGTAGGAGTTTGGATCTCAGGCCTGGCTATTTCTTTGACATTAGGTAAAATGTGTAAAAGTAAGAAACTCATATTGTAAATTTTCTGTTCTGCCTCCCAACTGATAGGAAAGATTAGTGGTAGGAAGCCTTGAAAGTTCTGTAGTTGGGCTGCTTTTCATAATGCAGTAAGCATGTGGTTCTCAGAGTACTGCAGTAGATGTGTTTATTATTTGTGCACTTTGATTACAAAATCAGAGAAGAGAGACCATGAGCTGGTATTGTGTCTCTTAAGGCTACATTTCCATGCTTTTATTTAAAAAGTGAAAGTTTTTTGTACTGTCTGGTAGTCTGTCCGTGCTGTTAGGCACATCAGTTACATAGCCAAGCAGTTTAGTTTTTCAGAGAACAGGAAGATCTGAAGGTATCTTTTCCTGTGCCAAAACTTGAGTGTGCAAGAGGCACTGTACCAGTCCTTCTCTAAAGGGATTTTTACTTTTGTAAAATGGAGTCTACTTATTTTTTTGTAAAAGTATTGTTTTAAAATTTTATACTATAATCTGTGTGTATTATGTTTATATTTATATATTTTGTTGCCACAAGGGAGCTGCAGACTTGGGAGGGAAACACTCAATATTGTACACATGAACTCACATTTATATAAATAAGTGGAGGACTCGCTAGAACTTGCGGGAGGCATCTCATTTCCCCTTTATTCTCCCTCTCCACACTTTCCTCTTTTTCTTTATGGCATCCCCCACAGCCTGTCCCCATTTCTGTCTTCTCTCCTTCCTACCCAGGCACCAACCTTTCTTCATCTCCTGCCCGCCATCTTCACCTTTCCCTCTCCCCACAAGCCTCTTCCTGGGCAAAGTTCAGTCAAGTTCCAGCCATAAGTTGCTCTGGAGAATTATGTGGTAGCCAATTGCAAGCCTGCTCATGCTGTGCGTTGGCCAGTCATGACAGCCACTGCTGGGCCCAGCCAAGTTGTGTAGTAGTAAGTCACGCAGTGACCACTGCCAGGTCTAGTTCAGTCATGTGGCAGTGAGTTGCTCGGCAGCCACTGCTGAGCCCAGCTAAGTTGTGCAGGTTGCACAATACTCCTGTGTGAGTCATCTGGCTGCCGCTGGACCCAGGTGTGAGTTGAATGACCGTGAGTTACTCAGTGGCTGCCGGTGGGCCTGGTGAAGCTGCACAGGTCACACAGCAGCTGCCACCAGCAAAGTCATGCAAGTTGCGCAGTAGCAATACACCTGTGTGGCTGGTTTGCTGCCTTGTAGCTCACATGTGAGTTGTGAGGCAGCAAGGTTTCTGGCCCAACAACAGCTTCTGTGCAAGTCAGGCTGCTGGGCCTCGCTGAGGTGAGTCCTTTATTAGGTTGCCATCTTCCAATTGGCTCAAAGCTGTTTTGTTTTTTTAATGATAGCCTCTTGCTGAGAGTAGCCAGGTGCGTGATTTTTGTGGTGCTGAGTGTAGACTAAGACATGTTCTACAATATGACGGTGGTTTTATTTTGTTTCAGTGTAAGACTCATGAATTCATGAGGATCGATGCCTCAGATACATGTTGTGCCATTGCTGTGCTGCAGAGTATTGGATCTGTGTTTTTTAAGGTTCAGTCCGTCATCCTGGCTTTGACATATGATTTGATCCTGGATTTGGGAGAGTTCATTGGGGGAAAAAGGGTCCATGTACATCAGGTTTTTACTTTTTTCCTTAAAATGTATTTATTTATTTATTTATTATATTTATAATCCGCCCTCCCCGCAAGCTGGCTCAGGGTGGCTCACACTGCCTGGCTCAATGCCAGATTCATATATAACACATTTAAACTTAAAACACTATTAATACATTTAAAAACATTTAAACAATCAGCATTCGAATAAAATGTACTCTGTAGTTGTTCACCAAGATGGCATAGCATATCATGTAGCTCCACAGCTACTGGCTCCCAGCGGTTTGACTCTGCCTCACTACAGCCAGCCTCTACCCCAGATATTAATGGTGGTCATTGGTGGTAATGAGGGCGGCTCCCAGTTCAAAGCCTGGTGGAAGAGCTCCATCTTGAAGGCCCTACAGAACTGCATAAGATCTCGCAAGACCCTGATCTCTTCTGGGAGCTCGTTCCACCGGTAAGGAGCCGCCACTGAGAAGGCCCTGGCTCTAGTGGCCGCGAGCCTGGCCTCCCTGGGGCCTGGAATAACCAGTCGATGTTGTGCCCCAGACCGTAGTGCTCGCTGCGGTACATATGGGGAAAGGCAGTCCCTCAGGTATGTCGGACCCTGGCCATATAGGGCTTTAAAGGTAAGTACCAGCACCTTGAAGCGAATTCGGTATGCTATTGGCAGCCAGTGCAGGCCCTTCAGCACCGGCTGGATGTGCTCCCATCTAGGGAGACACATCAGTAGCCTCGTATAAAAGACATTTCTATGCTGCTTCTTCACCCAATTCAGGGCCCCCGAAATGGCAAACGTTAAAACATTTCAAACATTAAAAAGCATATAATGTGTGGGTGTTTGTGTGTATCTATGTTAAATAAAATATAACATAAACACAGGGTTGTCAAATGGAGCTTCTGGGGAAGGAGAGCCGAGAGAAGCTATTCATAAAGGAAAACATTTTAAATTTAGACTGTAAAATGACCAAACTGAGGCTATCATACTTTGGTCACATTATGAGAAGACAGAGTCACTGGAAAATATAAAATTACTAGCAAAAGTAACAGTGGTTGTTCTCAACTCATTCTCCACCCAAACGGCACACTGAGCTTAAGGTATCCCAAGTAGCTGCAGAATCAATTTCTCCAGAGAAACTGATCTCTTTAGTCTGGAGATGAGTTGTAAAGCCGGGAGATCTCCAGGCCCCACCACAGCAGAAGCAGCATAGAGGTCCTGAAAAAAAAAATCCCTGTCCAATCACAGATCATATTCATTCCCACAGATTTTTACCAATATTTTTAAAATCCAGAACTTTATGGTATCATCATGACACAGAAACTTGTAGAATATTCCAAAATGCAGTATGGAATGAGTTTGGTGTAGTGGTTAAGTGCACAGACTGTAATCTGGGAGAACCAGGTTTGATCCACACTCCTTCACTTGCAGCTGCTGGATGACCTTGGGCAAACCATAATTCTGTCAGAGTTGTTCTCAAAAGAGCTCTCTTAGCCCTACCTACCTCACAGGGTGTCTGTTGTGGGGAGGGGAAGAGAAAGGAGTTTGTAAGCTCTGAGACTCCAAGTGAAGGGCGGGATATGAATCCAATTTCCTTTAAAAATTATAAGGATCCAAGTATTTGATGCAGTGTCTGCACCATGGGAGTGCCACAAAGACTAGGACTGTTCCTGTGCCACAAAGACTAGGACTGTCAGCACGCTCATAATATGTGATTTCCTAATGAGATTTGGGTGAGTCCACATAGAATTCCTGAGGATCCATGAGGATCTGGTGCTTTGGATCTATGTTTCTGAGCCATGATGGTGCTGTGAAAAGGTGGACCCATGCTTTTTGTAGTGCAGTAGGTCCCCATGGATGTGATATGTGATTTGTTGATGAACTCATATAACACTTGTGAGGATCCATGTATTTATGCTTGTGGTGGTGCCGTGATGAAGCAATGGATTTGTGATTTTTGTCGTGCAGCCTGTCACCATGGACATGATATGTGATTGGATAATGAATTAGGTGTGACCAAATGTAAAAATCCTGAGGATCCATGAGGATGTGTGCTTAGGAACTATCCTTTTGTGCCGTGGCAGTGCCACAAAGCAGTGGATGCATGATTTTTGTCATGCAGCCTATGAACATGATGTGTGATTGGACAGTGAGTTTGGGGCAACACAATGTAAAAATCCTGAGGATCCATGAGTTTCTGTGCTTCAGGATCACACTTTTGTGCTATAGTGACACCATGAAGCAGTGGATCTGATTTTTCTAGTGTAATATTTGGCTATAAAGAAGGAGAAGAGATTGGATTTTTACCCTGCCCTTCACTACCCAAAGGTGTCTCAGAGCGGCTTACAAACTCCTTTCCCTTCCCCTCCCCTCCCCACAACAGACACCCTGTGAGGTAGGTGGGGTTGAGAGAGCTCTAACAGAAACTGTTCTTTTTTCAAGAACAGCTCTTATCAGCACTACGGCTTGCCCAAGGTCATCCAGCCAGGTGCAAGTGGAGGAGTGGGGAATCAAACCCGGTTCTCCCAGATTAGAGTCCACGCACTTAACCACTACAGCAGACTGGCCCACATGGACATGATATGTGATTTGATGGTGCGTTTGTAGTGACTCAAAACAAAAATGAGGATCCATGATCTTAGGGCTCTTTAGCTTGGAGAAACGACGACTGAGGGGTGACATGATTGAGGTTTATAAGATTATGCATGGG